GGGGGGGTGATTTCTCGCTTTCTGTCTCTATGTCTCTGTCTGTCTGGCGAGCGTATGCACCCTCTAGCGAAAAAACCTCTCCAAAAAAAAACAAACCTTAAAGTCAGGAAACAGGTTAGGATTCTGTTCAAGTGGTAGATACATGAACCTATCCATATCTCGAGACAGGACACAAATCCCTACACCCAGATAACAAAGACTACAAGAAAATCAGCAATGTTTTAGTCAAAAGTCATAAAATTATATTTCACCAATTCAGTCTCATGTACTTTATCTTATGTTGTGGTTTGATTTGCCTGATTAAATTCTGGGATATAATATTCAACTCCAGACTTGTTCCTATGATTGGCCATTTTCTTAGTTTTTGAACTCTTATTTCTGTGTGACTATATTTAGTTTTCCTGATATAGCACTCCCTTGAGAAATTCTTGGAAATCTGGTCTGGTGCTGGTAAATTCTTTCAGGTTTTGTTTATCTGAGAGTGTTCTTGTCTTTTCTTCCCACATGAAAGATAATCTTGCCGGATACAGTATTCTTGACTGAAATTGCTTTTCTCTTAACACTTTGAATATATTTTCTCATTCTTTCCTTGCTCGCATTGTTTCTGATAAGAGATCTGCTGTTAGCCTGATGGGATGTCCTTTGTAGGTAACTTGATGTTTTTCTCTTGCCAATCTTAGTATCTTGTCTTTGTCTGTGGTTTTGGTCAATCTGGCTATAATGTGTCTTGGAGAAGATCTTCTTTGGTTAATTCTATTTGGGGTCCTTTGTATTTCTTGGGACTGGATCTTTGAGTGCCTCACTAGGTTTGGAAAGTTTTCTTGCAGGATTTCATGGAATAGATTATCAATGCCCTATGAATCTCTTTGCCTTCTGGAATGCCAATTACCCAGATGTTTGGACATTTGATGGTATGTAGCACTTCTCGTATATTATTCTCATTTTTTGGGTTAATTTTCTCAGTCTTCATGGTGAATTTTTCTAGGCCATCAATTTCTTCTACATCTGAGATTCTATTTTCTGTATGATCTCATCTGCTTTTAATACTTTCAAGGGAGATTTTGACTTCCTGTATTATAGCCATCATCTCTAA